ACTACGCCACGACGCCCGAGACGACGGCGCCCGTCTACCAGAACGTCGACAACGTCTACTCCAACCACCGCCAGTACTCGAGCTACATGGCGGCGAGTCCGGCGTACGTCGATGTCTGCGACTCGCTCCGCGTCAGCTGGGACATTGCGACGGTCGTGCCGATCGTGAGCACCAAGTGCTTTCCGCAATCGTGCGTCCTCGCGCAGCTCTCGCAGTGCATGGACATTCCCGAGCCGACGTACACGGCGATCGGGTACGACTATGTCGCGCAGCCCTCCGACGGCTACAGCGGATACCGCCCGTCCAGCTACCAGCGCCCGTCCAGCTACGCCACGTACAACCAGTACTCGCGGGCGACCTTGGGCTTGGAAGGCTCGTCGTTGGCACTGCTCTCTGCGATCGGCTTTGTCGCCGGCATCGTTGTCGTCGCGGTCGCCCAAGTGGTGCTCAAGGCCCGCAACGCGCGCGACGATGCGAAGGGGTACCGCCTTGTCTAAGCAAATGCGTGAGACCCTCTATCAGTAACTCTATCATGAATGGTCAAATTGTCTATGCATAACTCGTACGCGGAACTTTGAATCCATTGGATCAGAAACGGTTATGGTACCTTACCCGCGGCCACAAGCATAGGTCGAGTACAGAAGAGCAGGACGAGCCTCCGCGCCGCCGCCTGCGCAGCCACGGCCCGGCGAGTGAATGAAGAATGAGAAATTGCCAGTCCCTGGTATCGAAGTGTTTGCAATAACGAAGATAACGCGAAATACGTTCATATATGTATGGTTCAAGGTATGATGTTGACGAATCACCCTGACCCTCGTCAGGTCCTCGAATTGGCCACCACATTTGAAATCTCGTCTAGTGTCCTACTATAGTGTCGTCGTTGTTGAAATGCGTCTTACGAATTTTATGGATTAACTATCCAAGTGTAGTGCAAGGTGGTACTCTGCGTTCAGACAGACGGTCAAGGAGCTGCAGTTAGGCTCAAGCACGATCATGTAGCTTGAACGATTGATAAGTAGAAAGTGTCGCGGGTTCGACCCATGGCAATGTGCGCTGGCGGCCATCGACGAATGCCTGGTGTACGTGGCGACCGCCGCGCCGCCTTTTCTGAAACCGCGCTGCCTATGTGGCCGTCCGTTTCACTCTGGTTAGCATGTCCTTTCTACGGTGCATCGCCATGGCCATGTGCTGGCTGCTGGCCCTCCTCGCTACCACATCAGCGCAGAATGCTCCGACTCAAGCCAACGAGTTCATTGTACGCTGTCAGAGCTATCTGTGTGGTCTTGTTATGACGGTTGCGCTCTATAGTATGGCAAGGTGCGGACCGATGGCATCGAGTATGCCTCCTTTGACGGTGCGTGCTTTGTGTCAACGGTCTCGAATTCAAAGGTGTGCCTCGATCTAGTGCGCCCCGGCACAGCGCAGGTCGTGCTGACGTTTGCGCGCAGTGACCTCCACGGTCGCGTGCCCCCCGTGCTCTTGCTCAAGCACGGTGGTCTCCCGACAACCACGGATTACGACGTTCGCTTCAATGGCACGTCCGAGTCGTACTGGCTCACGCAGACGATCCCCGACCTTCGGGTACGTCCACACATACGATGGAAATATGTTTACATTCGAGGTAGCTCGGTCGCTATTTTATTGCTGTCTGGGGGGGCGCCCTTGAGAGCTCGATCATGGACTTTGGCATCGGGCCGACTATCAATGTATGGTACCACATGGTTCTGCAATTCCAAGGGTGTCTCGACACGACCCACCTCGGTACGAGAGCCTAGCTCTTTGGCAGATACTATGTACCAAGTTGTTTAGGGTCCGAGTGCGCCTATTTTGCGTGGCCCCTCGTGGCGTTTGCGCCAGAGGAGACAAGCACTGTCGTCAACGCCGCGCAAGCTGCGAGCAGTGCCATGCCAAGTGCCTCTGGGTGCTTTGACCCGAATCAGTTTATCGCGTTGTATGCTCTCGCACTCTCGCCCGAGGCATCGTTCGCCATTGACGTACGATCGAAACCAGCTGTTTTGGAACATATGCGTTGACATAGATATCACTCTCCAAGGCCCCGGGGACTCCCCAGTCATTCTTCTACGCACTCTACCACGACCGTGCCAACCCGTTGGACGCGTCCACGGCTGCATTTATGAGCGGCCAAGGCGCCCTCGGACGCCGCACCTACCGCATGAACGTTCTCTCGCCCCCCGAAGGGTTGAACCATCACTAAAAACTGGTATGTCATCAACGTGATAGGGTGTGGTACCTATTACTTTACCTCGACACCCCCGACATGACACTGTGCTCCAACTCTCGGGGCACCAAGTTCAACGTCACGTACACAGTCCAGGTATCGCTTATGCAAGGACAGGCCTTCGACAACATACCATTTCGTGAGAAGGGCTGTAGTGCTTCCTTGACGACAGTGAACGACTGCAACACTGACTGGATCCAGCTCGACGAAATCATTTTCAACCCTACGCGGTCCCTCAGCGTTGTCGACCGATGGTACATGGCAAGCAACCCTATGGTCAACGTGTCAGTCACGACGTCGACCTACGGCTTGGTACGCGCACGCACTCCTGACGCACCTTCGAAATAGTGTATATCTAGGGCTACACCATGCAACTCATACCTGATATGGCGGGAACGAACCTCGGTTTTCACGTGATTGTGCCGGCAGCCTTCCCCGTCGCGTCGCTTGTCATGCTCATCGGCATCGACGAGTACCCGTCCGAGGCGCGCTACGCCTATCGCTTGGATGGCGCGCGAGCAGCTGTGACAAGCGGGGTGTCATCGAGTGTCAGCAGCGCGTTCACGAGCCAGAGCACTCTAGTACAAGATGAGGTAGCGGCAGTCCATTTGAATGGATCGGCTGTCACGCTCTCGTGGCCGCCCCTGCGCTTCCCACCTATCGGAACGTGGTACATTGCGGTCCAAACCACACAGTCAACGTACGGAGAAGAACTGATTTACTGGTGGTAGAAGTCTATGCCTAGATCGTGGATACAAGGTCTCGTGATCCAAGCCCAAGGCTGCAGTGACAATATGTGCGGGGACTCTGGCTATTGCGTGGCCAAGGCGACGTACCAGGGCCTCGCGTACTCGCGCTGTGTCTGCGAGTACGGTCATGCTGGGCCGTTCTGCGATCAAGTTGTCATCATTGAAGAGCAGTGGCACGGCTGGTTCCTCGTCATCACCAACGTTGCCATCGTCCCGACGACCGTTGCTGCGATTCGGCGCCACCTTCACGGTACACTGCGTATAAGAATTGTAGCCTGGGTGAGAACTGTGTGCTGTAGTGGAAGCGGTGCTGTTCGGGTCACTTGGTATCGCGTCCAGTCTGTACCACGCGTGCGACCTCAACTGGTTTTGCGCCCTGCCCTTTTCAACGTTAATGGTACACTCCCAACTCTTTAGCGTTTGGCATCAAAGTGCCGCGTAGAGCCTCGACTTTGGCCTCTCGTTCAACAGCATTTTACTGTGCGTCTTTCACCTCTCTGGCGTGAGCTCCCGCGCCAAGGTCTATTTGTATCCTAGCTTCCCAAGCTCATGAGTAATCGTTCTGCTTAGGCAATGGCGCAAGTGGTCGGTATTGTCATGCTAATTGTCCTCCTCGCCATCAACCCCACCGCGTCCATCAACCTCGTATTTGTCGGCTGCCTTGGTGCTGGTCAGCTCCTTGTCGCGTGGACGGGCTATGTACGTTCGAAAATTTGTACATTCATGGCTCATCCACGACAACTCTAGTTTGTAATTGCAGCCTACCGAACGCGCTGGCGCGTCTCGTTCTACACGTAAGAACAAGCTGCATGCGAAATCTCAAATCTTGCACAGAATCGGCAAGCTCTTTGTCTTCCACAGCGACAACTTTAATCTCAAGATGGTCGGTCTCGGACTCATTCTCTGGCTCGGCGCATTGCTCTGCTGGTTCTTCAATTCATCGCCGTCCTACTGGCTGGTACATCGACCATAACATCTGGGTCGCATTGACTCTAGTACGTAGCTTCACTCGCTCTGGCATCTATTTGCCATGTCGGCGGCCGGTGCCTTTATCGTCGCCAAACGGGCCGATACATATCGCATCATTGACAGCAACGGCGCCGACCTTTTGCGCGCGCTGCCGGAAGCCAAGTCGTCGATGCGCAACGTGCTGGTCGCACCATTGCCCACAGTACAATTCGAGTCGCTCAAGGAAACCAGCGGGTCTTCTGTCGTCGTCGTTGACCCGTAGCGTACCATCTTTATAAAAACTCTTTCGTCATCAAAGGGGCTTCTGAACTGCAAGCATTTAGCTCAGGAAGTGGCTGTAGCGACGATGGGACCTTGGGCAATATCAATGGTCCTGGCACGAGTCGATTCACACATCAAGCACCCATGTTGACAAGAGGAGGTCCTATCTCCTTCTACTAGTAGATTACTATCATATGGGATTCAGGGACTTCAAATCTTTTTAGACTTTAGAAGAAAGCGTCTTGGTCTACCGTCAGGAACGTTTGGATGCATAGACAAATTAACCATTCATGATAGAGTTACTGATAGAGGGGCTCACGCAATTGCTTAGACAAGGCGGTACCCCTTCGCATCGTCGCGCACGTTGCGGGCCTGAAGCACCACTTGGGCGACCGCGACGACAACAATGCCGGCGACAAAGCCCAGCGAAGACAACAACGCCAACCACGACCAGACCAACCAAAAGAGCGCCCGCGAGTACTGGTTGTACGTGGCGTAGCTGGACGGGCGCTGGTAGCTGGACGGGCGGTACCCGCTGTAGCCGTCGGAGGGCTGCGCGACATAGTCGTACCCGATCGCCGTGTACGTCGGCTCGGGAATGTCCATGCACTGCGAGAGCTGCGCGAGGACGCACGACTGCGGAAAGCACTTGGTGCTCACGATCGGCACGACCGTCGCAATGTCCCAGCTGACGCGGAGCGAGTCGCACACATCGACATACGCCGGACTCGCCGCCATGTAGCTCGAGTACTGGCGGTGGTTGGAGTAGACGTTGTCGACGTTCTGGTAGACGGGCGCCGTCGTCTCGGGCGTCGTGGCGTAGT